ATACTTAGATATGTAGGTACAGATATATCGATATCGATATATATCGCTTACCGTTGCCGCCAGTTGCGATTCATGCTGTTGCTTCGCTTGTAGTTGAATCGCGATTCAGTCTCTCGCATGGAGCGCTGGTACTTCTTCATCTTGACCCAGGAACGACCTGCTGCATCGAATGTGCACCAGATGGTTATAAGCGTAATAAAGACCAACGTCCAGTTGCATATGATGATGGCTGTCAGGCAGAGAGAAAGAAAGAGTAAAAGAGAGAGAGAGAGAGAGAGAGAGAGAGAGAGAGAGAGAGAAGGAGACACTTTACTTAATTATTGCTTCAATAATTTCAAAAATTCTTTCTGTTGCCTGATTATTATTTTTCATACTTTTCCTCCAGCTTTCAACTTGCTAATTAAAAGTTGTTAATGTAAGCGAAAGATTCGAACAATTCCCATGCAAAGGCAACAATTTATTGCAACCTGAACAACAAGTCATAAACAAACTTTTAAAAAACTATTAACAATTTTAATTAAAAGTTCGTTTCGAGGGGAGCAAGGCAACAATTGCATCGCCAACCAGACCAGAGAAAGGGCAAAAAATAGAGCAAGTTTGTTATCAATTTTAGCTTTGACATTTGAAAGAACTTTTGTTGTTCAGTTAAACTGTTATTTAGCTCGTTCACTTAATAAATGTAGTGCACTAACTGTCCAAGTCGGCTAGAAGTATTTCACTTCACTTTCCACAGAGAAGATAACTCACCTATGAAAATCTTCTTTGCCTCATCGATGGGTGCCTCCATATAATAATGGGACAGCCATATGGAGCCCAATATTAGCCATGAAATATCAAATAATATCACCACTAGAATAAATCAATTGAGAGAGTATAGATATATGTATATTGATATATAATAGTATATATGTAAATGCTTATAGATATATGACTTACAACTCTTGAGATATATCCATATATTGATCGATGTACGCGCCTCGGAGTCCAAAATGCTGCCGCGCATCGAGATCACACAAATGCCTATTTCTACGCATATTGAAACTGTTGACGAGATATATGTTTATATATGGATTAGTTCGGGTAAGCTAATGATCTATTGTATCTTTGGGCTATACTCACAAAATAGTATTAACAAGTAGCCTATTAGATGATAGAATAATAGCTTAACACTTAAAACACTTGTGTCATACTCAAATAAAACTAACGAGACGGCCACAAGTACAAAACTGAAATGAACATCAACACATTTAGAACAATTAGCATCAATGCGAGTATCTATATACATATATACGAAATATATATGTATATGGGTATATGTATATGTGCATATTGTAACATTTACCATATGAAGTGAAGCGCCAAGAGAAATGCACCGGGTACTACCAGATCATCGGAGCCCACAGACCAGCGACGCCTGAAGACCACAAGTCCAGGCATCTRCAATGAGTTGAGAATAAAAACATATAGTAAATATAATATATATATGTTAAATATAAGCTAAAAAGCAATAGGTAAGGGTGCTTTGGTCCGGCATGCTCGCCTAGGAGGTGCCCTAACTATCCTTGTAGCAATTCCTTATAAATACACACTCATTAACATAAGGCAAATCATTCAAGTGAATAATCACATATAACTAGCTAATTGGCATTGTTGAAATGTTGTAGAAAATCATTTTAAATTGCTACTTAAATTCTTTAGTTAGAGTTCAATGTAACCCTAGTAACTAAGCCTTAATATATACTATATAAGTTCCTTGAAATGCAGTCGTTCACTCGGCGCATGCAACAGCTTCACTTACTCTCCCATATCCGTCACACTGCCAGACCCGAGCCCACCCACAGTTCCATTCCCATTTCCCATTCCCATTCCCTTTCCCATTCCTATGCCCGCTGCGAATCCCAATCCCATTCTTAGTTCTGCTTGGAATGGCTTTGTATGTGCAGCTATGCAGTCGTTGACGGCAACACCTCGAAACTCGAACCTCGAAGCCTCAAGCTCGGAAGCTCGAGCCTCGACCCTCGCACATCGCACATCGCACATCGCACATCGCAGCTCGCACATGGAACTCGACTAGCAACGACAGCTTGGACAGCTTGAGGTTGTTGTTGCCGTTGCTATTGCTACTAAATCGCATACTACAACAAAAACTAAGAAAAGAGAATGAAAAATGTAAAACTAATATGAATGCGCTCGGCCAGGAGGCACCCTTTAAATGTATTAAGTATAAGTATAAGTATAAGTATAAGTATAAGTATAAGTATAAGTATAAGTATAAGTATAAGTATAAGTATAAGTATAAGTATAAGTATAAGTATAAGTATAAGTATAAGTATAAGTATAAGTATAAGTATAAGTATAAGTATAAGTATAAGTATAAGTATAAGTATAAGTATAAGTATAAGTATAAGTATAAGAATAAGTATAA